AAAAAAAAAAATTCAAAATTCCCTCCATATACGCAGAGGCGGAGGCGGAAAACAGAGTGAGAAGAAGAGAGAGACGCCGCTCCTCCCTGCCTCCCGACGCCCTGCCATTTCCGCCGTCCTGCGTCCGCTGCCGCCTTGCTGCCGCCGACCCCTTGCTCCATCCGATTGAAGAAAAATACAGGTATTTATCGGAGAGTCGTGAACTGATTGTCGATATTTTTATCTGCAATGATATCCTTGATCCCTAAAACTTAATTGGAGGATTACACACACAAACATATATATGGATATATAAAGTGTACAACCCAGGAAATGAAACTTTGTCACAGCTTTTTTTTTCTTTCTGAAAATTGTCAAAATATGGAAAAACAATTTCATGTCCTCAAGTCAATCATGTGATTCAACCATGGTCTTCGGACCGGGCGAAAGGGGGTGCTCATAGCTGACCTTCCCCAATCGTACCCTAGCTCCCGAGCCGAGACAACTCCGGTGATGACGGACATGTGGCCTTCGGCACCGAGTCAGGGTTTCCTAAATTTCCCATTTTAAAAAATATTTAGGTGGCGACTCTGTATCTGGCAAAGCAGTCCATGTTTGGCACTACTTTTTCAAAAATCTATTTCTCAAAACGATTTGCCAGATTTGGACTCTTTGGTTCAGATTAAGAACCGCGACAACAAAATCGCGAGTCCGAACTGTAGTACCGACGGCCCCCACGTGGGCGCGTCTACAATATGTAAACAGAAGTATGCACAATACTGTACTAAAATATACATATACAAAGAGAAAGATAAGCTCGCAGATAGACAATCCATATATCTATGTATTCTGAGCAATGATTTTGTATGTAAGGGCAGAAGGGATAATACCCAAAATTGACAGGATAACTTTCCGTGCTGCCAACTGTTCAGCCTCCTTGTTTTTGCCTGCCTCGCCAGTGTAAGTAACACTATAGAATACCAAAGCAGATACACGAAGTGGAAGCAACCCCACTGACCGAGTTGTGTTGTAAGTGGGTTTCTCCAGATGCATCTTGACTGCATATTCAGAGAGGATGGACTTGCAAAAGACTGGAAATTCATGGAGGATAGGCTTGCAAAAGACTGTTTCCTAGATAAATGACAAGAGAAGGAGAAAAAAAAAAAAAGGAGGAAAATGATTCAAATAGTGGCTATAAAAGAAGAAAGAAAGAAGAAGAAACTTGAACACCATAAAAATGAAAAACATAGCCCCAGTCAGTGAAAAATATCTGATTGATTCCCCTGAAAAATATAGCACCAAGTCTTCCTCTAGCACCAATCAATACATTATAAATTACACATCTCAAGTTCCATTCATTCCTTGAGCTATTACAGGTAAAAAGTATTACAAATTCAAATAAAGAAGCAATACAGATCATATTTGAAGTTTTATTACAATCATAGAACCAAACAGGAGCTAGCTATAATTGTAAACATCAGAATTAAGCAACAAAATTCTAAGAGACTACAATCAACTACTTATCTCAACATTTACAAATATTCTATCTTACTAGTAGGAAACTTGGAAAGACTTTTTTTTTTTTTGAATAAGTAATAATGTTCTCAAGACAATATTGGCAGCAACATAACAAAAAAATGGGGGCATAGGTATGTCCCTCCAAGTCCCATGCCACTTGGTGACTAAAGAAACTACTTTTTTGATGAATAAAAAATGAATAGAGAAACTACACAATTGGATAGGGACGGTGAGTAAATTATGCAACTTTTTACAGTAGACAAAACTTTTATCTCAAAGCACCCGGAAGTAAGAGTGAACTCACTCCACATTTCAAGGCTAACACCTTGTAAGGCAGTGGCCAATCGGCAAAGCAAGAACATATTCCTTAGATTGATACATTCAGGGTACTGTTTATCTCACCCAGAACAGCGCTTGCGCTTTCATTATTTCTTGTTTAATTACTCCCAAACCCTCGCCACTTTAATATCGTGCTGCAGCCCTTAGAACACGTGTATTTACTAACCATTCAGCCACAAAAATCAATAGCAATAGCCCATAAATGCTGCTCTACATCAAATTTGGTCAAACTTGTAAGAATTTTAATCACACTCATCCGGGATCATGCAGCTTTGCCTTACAACGAACAAAGACATAGGGGCTCAACAATTTAATTGAACAATGACTTGGTTCTACAGGGTCCATAATGAAATATATTTTGATCGCAAGTCAAACAAGAAAAGGCTGGAGAAAGAAACCAGACCACTCGAAAAGGCTATGTTCTGCCTAAAAGTAGTTGAACCTAGAACTTGAGGATATGCATGTAGAAAGTGATTCAACCATTTATCATCGGATTATCAGATGTAAAAAGAACAATCAAAACAAGATAAATTATAAAGTCCCAATAATGAGACTATCAAAGACGATGACACGTGAATAAACCAATAATAAATAGACATACTAGGTCCCATAAATTAACCTAGGGTGCTAGGACCTCTTATTTTCTTCCAACGATGCCTATATTATCCAACCAGAACCTAGATTTCATAATTCATAATTCTTTTGAGACCTTGTTCCAGTGGAATAAAGAAGAAATGTATTAAAAAAATTCCAATTAGGTAATAACTAAAACTAAATCAAAACTCGGCCAAAGGTCAAAATTTGAGTGGCAAGAACTTAAAAGTAAAAACCATAAAAAAGAACATATGAAAGCCTCACGCTACCAAGCCAATTAATCATTTTAAAATAACAAGGAAAAACTTGAACTAGTGAGTTGAAATGAGAATGAATCATTGTGTAACACAACACTCCCTTTCACTAAGCGATAATATTAAAATAAAACCTAACTTAGTAAGTTGAAAATTGAAATCATGCATGCCACAAACCTCACGAATAAGTATCTTTTGTGTTATACCATCCAATGCCACCCTGGCAACATCTTGCTCTGCAGCCTTTTGTTGTGAAAATACATCATGAGATATATATGATGCTTCATCCACCCGGACAGTGGACCTAAACCTTGGCTCATGTGGAACTCCTCCTTCATTAATTGTTTCATAAACTGGGAGTGGAATGGATGATTTTTTAGTGTACTCTTGCAAACGGTTCTTGTATATTGCGAGTTCCGGAGGATCTAGCAATATTAAGGAAAACATATTATCACAAAATGCACTTCAAGCTCCCAATGAACAGTTTGTTTTCAAGTATTGGCATCTGTAAACTAATTTCAAAAAGTGCATGATCAAGAAATTAGAACCTTTCAAGTACAACGATGAGCAACCATGTGGAAACATTTTTGTCATTCACACAACAGCTCTAAGGAAGTCCAGCTAAGTGTAGACGTCCCCGAACGCCCCGGGAGGAACGAGTCCCCCCGTTCCGTTCGATATTAGGCTCACTACAGTTCGGACTCTCAATTTGTCACGGTTTAAATCTGAACCAAGGAGTCCAAATCCAGCAAATCGTTTTGAGAAAACAGAGTTGCCACCTAAATATTTTATTTTGGGGAAATTTAGGAAACCCTGACTCGTTTGCCTAAGGCCACGTGTCCGTCATCACCAAAGTTGTCTCGGCTCGGGAACTTGGGTACGATTGGAGAAGGTCACTTCGTGAGCACCCCCGCTCGACCGATCAAAGATCGGTCTCTACTAACCATGATATCTATTTTTGAAAACATTATGTGTTCTTATTCCGGTTATTAGCCTAGATTACTTTGTGATGCGCACAGCATACAAGTATAGACTGGGTCGCATGAATTGGAACAAAACATTTCATGTTCGTTTGTTTGAAAATGGTTTGATGGTGCTACCCGCAAGTAGGCTAAGACGTGGATTTGCCACCCTCAGGTGGGTTTTAGAAAATATGATTTTGCCACTATCTAGTGGGCTTTAAAACTCAAGTGAATGAATTGTTCCAATCCAAATAACCCAACCTTCACCCACAGGCATTCAGGCAGATATATCACATAAGCATTTAGCCTCATGGTAAGTATACTATCATGGCAGTCACTCACATGTATGCAAGGATGCTAAAGCATAAAACTTACCGAGTACTCCAAGCCAAAACAGAAGCTAATTAGAAATCCATGTATGATCCTAACTATACAGAAATGCCTAATGCAACCACATGCAAAAGTGCAACTATAGTAGGCTCGGCTATTCTAGACATGCATATGAAATGCTACAGCTAACATGTATTCAACTTGAATTAAAATTCAATGCAGTTATATGATGCGCCGAGCCCGGTGCATGCAAGACAGATGAATGAATGCAAACATGCTATCATACTGTATGCTAATTGAAACATGCTTAATCTAACCATCATAAGCGGGTAAATAAAAGGAGAAAGACGTGGGTTGGAAGACATACATCACAACACACGCACCTTATTACAACATTGCCCTCGCAGAGGTCCGAATAAATATACAGTCCCAATAAATAATACAGTCCAAATAATTTCAAAACCCTAATTATTAACAAATTAAATTAGGAAAGCAATATAATTGGCATGCAAGCCAGGACTGCCTCAAATCTGCTCCGGATGATGAATGATGCATACTCGGTTGCCTTTGTCAGAGAATCCCTTGCGATGCCCGGTTTGCCTCTGTTTGCAATTGTTCTTGGAGCGTGCCAAGCTCTGGAAGGCTGCTGACTCTTGATTTGCTGTAACAGAGAGCAAGAAAGGGCATGGCAAAGTATTTTCACATATGTATGCATGACTACTCTTCGGGGAATGTAGTCTTCGATCCTCGTGCCACCAATCACGCATATCGATGCATGATGGCCGAGGAGTCGAATTGCACGACTTAATATGAAATGAATGCACACATAAACACAACAAGACTGAGACTCCATCATGGATAATCCGAAGTGTCGGTGACTGGGAATTGAGACACGTTCCGTCACTTGGAGTACGAAACGTCCCTCGTTTCCCGTGCTCGGGCTAACGCCTATCCCAAACACAATGCAATATGCATGACATGCATGAATGCAATTCTAACATGCAACCTATCATATGTAATGCTATGAAATGGCATACACAATGCGCGATGTAACATGGCATACACGATGCTCTAACATACAACCTAGCATACGCAATGCTATGAATTGAAATGGCATACACAATGCACGATGGACTTACATCAACATGAGTGGACCTCAGCCGCACTCACATCAATGGCCATTAGATGAAAATGAGACACTCGAGATGCGTGCATACGTGCATGCAAACCGAGGACTGAACCTAAGGCACAAATGCCACTCTAACAAAGCATGGCAAGGTATGAAACATGATATGCAAACATGCAAATTTCAGTGCTGAAATATGATGCAAAACAGCCCCAAAACATGGAAACATGGCACCCGATGCATGGAATGAACCCGAAACACAAAACTAGGCATATGCATTGGCCTATAGCTATACAAAACATGCATTATTTGATCATGAAGTATGAAGACAGAAGCAAGACAGTCCCAAAACATGCATATTTCCACTTTATAACAAGTCCCAAAAACGAATGCAAATAGGGCTAATCTATCATGCAAGAAAAGGCCTAAAATAGAGATTAAACACAAAGGGACAGCAGCTGGCCCCAAACAAAGAAGATCCCTTCAACAAAGTTGAAGAAGGTCTCAAAATAATGCACTTTAAAGTTTATGACCAAGTCCAAAACAGTGCACAAGTAAGCTTAAAACACTATGCAAAAATAGGCCTAAAAGAAGGTTTAAACACAAAGAGTAAAAAGGAAGCCGCAAACAGTAAAGGACCCTTGATCAAACATGAAGATGGGGTCAAAATATAACTCTTTACAGTTTGGGTCGGAGCCCAAAAATACAAGCACAAGGAGCTAAAAAAAATTGCAAACAAAGGGGCCAAAAGAGGGACAAAGTGGCAAGTGATAGAGGGAAGTCTCAAACAGTGAAGAGCCCTTCAACAAAGTTGAAGAGGGGCTCAAAATAAGACAACTCACAGTTTATATAAAAGATCAAAACAGTTTAAAAATAGGCCTAAAATACTATGCAAGAAAGAGGCCTAAAAGAGGTTTTTAACACAAAGTGTAAAAATGAAGTCTCAAACAGAAAAAGACCCTTGATCAAACATGAATAGGGGGTCAAAATATGACTATTTTCAGTTCATGTCGGAGCCCAAAAATACAAGCACAAGGGGCTAACAAAACATGCAAAAATAAGGCCAAAAGAGGGATAAAGAGGCAAGTGACAAAAGGAAGCCTCAAACAGTGAAGATACCTTCAACAATGTTGAATAAAGGCTCAAAATAATCCACTTTTCAGTTTATAACCAAGCTCAAAACAATTTAAAAATGAGCCTAAAATACTATGCAAGAAAGAGGCATACAATAGATGTAAAGAAACAAGTGTAAAAAGGAAGCATCAAATAGGGAGAGGCCATTAAACAAACATGAAAAGGAGCTCAAAATAATTCTATTTTCAGTTAGGGTTGGAGCCCAAATATGCAATCAAGAGGAGCTAATATATTGAGCAAAAATAGGGCCAAAGAGAGGGATAGAAGACTTACCCTTGAAGACCAATGCTTCAACAACTCTTGGCTTGAGAAAAGGTGCTCCTTGCCTCTAGAAAACCAGCTCCAAGTGTTGGAAAGGATGGTGGGGAGGTGGTGCTATGTGGTGGTGTAGAAAGGGGCCAAAAAAAACAAAAGGGTTTTGATGCTTGGAATATATAGAGAGAGAAATTAAATGTAGGAGGCTTAAACAAAAAATTTTTTGTAACCCAAAATGAAGCTGGAGCTTCTGGTTTTATAGAGGGAGGAATGGAGGAAAAGGGGGGGGGGGGAAATGGGGGGGAAAATCAATTCAAATTTCCCCCCAAAAATAGGCCTAAAAGAGAGATAAAGAGGCAAGTGGTAGCTTCTAGCCTCAAACCGAAGAGAGCCCTTCAACAAAGTTGAAGAGGGGCTCAAAACAAGACACTTTAAAGTTTACATCAAGCCACAAAACAGCTCACAAATAAGCCTAAAATACCATGCAAAAATAGGCCTAAAAGAGAGTTAAAGAGACAAGTGATAGTAGGAGACCTCAAACAGCAAAAGGTCCTTAATCAAACATGAAAAAGAGCTCAAAAATATGACTATTTACAGTTTGGGTCGAGCCCACAAATGCTTGCAAGCAAGGCTTAGATATAGAGCAAGATAGGAACAAAAAAGAGGAAAAGAAGCTTACCCTTGAAGACCAATGGATCAGCAGCTCTTGGTCTGAGAAATGGTGCTCCTAAGCTCTGAAAAATAGCTCCAGGTCATTGGAATTGATGGTGGTGGGGTGTATACGAAAAACCGGAGCAAACGGAGGTGGTTAAGCGGTCCCGAACCGAGGCACACGGTCGACGGTTCTGAAAACCGGGAACCGGGCTCCGAAACGGGAAAAACGGCCTACGACCACGAAACGTAGCCTACGGCCACTGAGAGATGATCTACGAGACCTCTCCCTCCCTTCGGGAAGAGAAGACAGAGAAAACGGGACCTGGTTCGCAAGCCGAGGCAAAGCACAAAAGAGTCCGGAAGTCCGGAGGCAAGGCTCACGGCCGAGACTCCGCGACCTCTGAACGAGCACAATATGCAACATCGCCGAGCGCTCAATCGGTGACGTCTGAGTCTTGAGGTCGGTCAAAAATGGGGTGTCTACACTAAGTAACCCAGAACAGTTAGCACACGGTTCGGTTAGGTCAGTTCGGGTTTACCCCTGATCCGTCAACTGGCTACCAACGTTCGGATGGAGAAAATGTCAACCTGATTCGACACAAACCCCTTTTGAAACTGTTTGCTTATGCTATTCAGTTTCACAGCCGGTATATGTTTGAGTATCGGGTTGGACCTCACTCAAATGCAACTGAGAACCTCATTAGATCTACCAATTTGGTAAACAAGAACGAAAAAAAAAATAAAAAATTGAAACAAATTTATCACTTTCCTTCGGCATAGATCTATTAATTTGGTAAACACAAATAAAATAAAATCAAAAAATTTGAAACAAGATCTCGTAACCTAATATTACATTTAGGGTTTTCGTTGGACTTCCTTAGAGCAGTGAGAGAGAGAGAGAGTGTGAGTTTTAGAGAGAGAGGGTTTTCGTTGGACTTTTTTAGAGCATCTCCAACGCATGAGGTAAATGGAGAGAATTAGGCATTTTACCTATTGAAGCTGCATTTCTAGGACTCCAAATGGTGAGGCATTTTGCCCCTTCTCGTTTTAGCTCTCCACGTGTCGCCAGCCTCCATTGCTAGGCAAAGTGTGTTCCCGCCAGGTGACTCTCTTGCCCTTTCTCTTTCTCTCTCTTTCTCCCTTTCCCATTCTTCCCCATCAACGATCTCTCTCAACCCACCTCCTGCCCCTTCCATGATTCATACCCAGATTTCTCCCCATATTACCATACTAACGCCATTGCCATAACCCTTTTCAAGTGCAGAATTTAAAAATCAATTAAACAATTTCGATAGTGAGTGAGAGAGAGAGAGAGTTGTGACCATTCAACGACGCTGGAGACGTGGATGGCCCAGGTGGGCAAAGAGAGGGCATTTGGGAGTTCATAGAGCGGCAAAGAAGAAGAACCCATCATCAATGGAAGCTCGGCAGCAGAGGCGGGTTCCACTACTAGGGTGAGGGCAAACCCAGCAGCACCCAAAAGAGAAGCAGCCATGGCTTTGTTGTTCTTGAATATACTGTAAATGATGGTTTTTGAGGAATGGGTTCGTTGAATTGGGTGAGAAACAATACCAATCTCATTGAATTTGTGAAGAGGAAAGGGTCTTTGAGGAGCCAGTAAAGGTCGCTGCTGCCATGACTCTGAGTGAGGTGTGTGTGTGTGTGAAACAATGACCCCCAATACAATTTGAGGACCCATTTCTCAATCAAATACACACCATAAATAAATAAATAAAAGTGATTAAAAAGTTTTTATATATATTAAAAATAAAAGATAAAAATTAGAGGAAATCACAAATACATTACTTAAAATTTATTTAAAATACGATTTGATTCCTATTATTTTAAAATTACTCTTTGGAATTGATAGGAAATGATTCTATTTTTCTCTTATAATAGTTTTCTTTTCAAAATTAATGTTTATAATAATTTTTTTTAAAAAAATTAGTTAAATTAGTTTAATTGGTTAGCTAAAATAAGGAGTATAGTTGGAGTGTACACTAACTAAACTAGATAGACAAAATAGAGAAGGTAGTTTTCTGTGTACTTTGAGGAGCCATTTTAGAGAGTATGGTTGGAGATGCTCTTAGAGCAGTGAGAGAGAGAGAGTACTTGCAGCACCAGTGTAAGAGAGAGAGAAAGCGAGTCGAAAATCTGAGAAAGTGGGGGGAGATTTGAAGTGGTGGGACGTAGTCGTATTTTGAGTGATGCCATGAATATGATAGGCTAGCATGCGCGTGGTGCGTAGAGTTCTGCTCGCGCTTGCTTCTTTTTTTTTAATCATTCGGGTTCAAAAAAGATAAAATAATTTTTTCAATCTAATAAAATATCACATTTAAGTAGTTGTTTGGGATAAACTAAATAAGTGTATTTTTTTGACTTTTTATGAAATATGGGTTGAGTATGGGTTAGGTTTGAAGTGATGTATAAGATGATGTGATTTAAATAGGATAATGACTTTTTGACTTTTTTAGATTATGCCAAACCAAGCCTTAAATCATAATAATTTTATTTTTTTTATAAAAGTTAAAAAAATTTATTCCAAATAAAAATTTTTAATACCAAATTAAAATAATCAAAAAGACAAAAAAACTAACCCATATTCCAAGGGCCTGTTTGGTAATGTTTATTTTTCAGTTCATATTTACAAAAATTTTATAAATTGATTTTTGTTTATTTTTAGAAAAACATAAACTACAAACGCGTTTGGTTTAGAAAAAATGTTTAAAAAATTTTAAAAATATAAAAAAGAGTGAGAAATGGCAAGTGATGGCAGGTGCACTGACTGGCCTGCCACGTGGCGATGACTGGACCAATGCCGTGACAGTCCTGTGGCATTTCCTGCCGACGTGGTGCTACTTGTCGATGACGTGGCTTGCTGACATGGACGACACGTGTCACTGAGTGGATGGACACGTGGCACTGGCGTGGATGCCGCGTGGCTCTGGTTGATGGCCACGTGGCGATGACGTGGAGGCGCGTGGCAGGCGCGTGTTTGACACGCGCTGCCTCCCACTTACCTTCTTCCTTCCGCCGCGCGTGGGGCGCATGCTGGCGCGTGAAAAGCAGCGCCGACTTCTCTTCACGGCGCGTGGGGCGTGTGCTATGACTGGACCTCACACGCCATCTTTAGGAGGCGCGTGGGGGTGCGTCCGATGTCTTCTGTGGCTCTTCTTTGCACTTCTAAACTCCTCTCGTCGAGACCTTGCTCCTGGTATGCTCAAAAAATTGACTTCGAGTACTTGATTTCTGGACAATTTCGACCAACACATTTTTTTTGTTCCGAAACGCCACTGATGAGGCTCTATTATTTAAATTTTTACGATTTAAATTTTTTGAATATTTATTTTAATTTTTTACTTATTAAATTTTTTAGATTTTTTGAATATTTATTTTGAAAAAAAAAATTATTTCCATTATAGTATTTTCAATTAAAAAATTGATTAATGTTATTTTCTTTTAATAATAAATTTTTTTAATTGAATTTTAAAAAGAGTTTGGTTATGAGTGTTGATCAGAATTTTCAATAGTGTGAAAGTAATGTTTTTTGTTATGAGTTATAATAATTTGAATTAAGTTTTGAAAACTCTTTCTAAAACTCATAACCAAACAAATTTTCTTACTTCACGTGTCAAAACAAATCAAACTTTCAAAACTCAATTCCACACTCAATTCAACATTCTTTTCAAAAATCACAACCAAATAAATTTTCTACACACAAATCATAATTCCACAACTCATAAATTCAAAATACAACTCATACTCTTAAATCATATTTTCAAAACTCTACCAAACGCAACCTTAAATATTTTTGAAAAATAAATAAATAAATCAATCAAAAGTTTCTCTAATATGTAACCAGCTGGTCAATTAGGGTTGATTTCAAAATTTATTTTTTTATAAAATAATAAAGAGAATGCAATTGATTTCTGTAGTTCATTTTTGAAAAATGATTTAGACCTCTAAAAAGAGAGCTTTAATAGAGCATTAATTTGTCTTCTTCCTCCCCATTTTTTGTTTTTTTCCTTTTTTTTTTTTTTTTTTTTTTTTTTATGTGGCCAGCTCATTAGAGCTGCTGCAGTGCAGCTCTAATTAGAGCTCTGTGTAGACATCCCCCCGAATGTCCCGGGAGGGATGAATCCCCGCCGTTTCGTTCGTTTGTGCTCGTTATAGCTCAGGACTCAAATTGTCACGGTTCTAAATCTGAACCAAAGAGTCTAAATCCGGCAAATCGTTTTTGAAAACAGATTGTTTTGTAAAGAAGTGCCAAACATGGACTGCTTTTCCAGATACAGAGTCGCCACCTAAATATTTTTTATGGGGGAATTTAGGAAACCCTGACTCGTTTGCCTAAGGCCACGTGTCCGTCATCACCAAAGTTGCCTCGGCTCGAGAACTTGGGTACGATTGGGGAAGGTCAGCTATGAGCACCCCCGCTCGCCCGATCCGAAGATCGGCCTCTACTAACCATGATATCTAGTTTTGAAAATGTTATGTGTTCTTATTCCGATTAATTAGCTAATCATACTATGTGATGCGCACAACACAAAAGTATAGAATAGATCGCCTAATTTAGAACAAAGCATTGCATATCCGTTTGTTCGGAAAATGGTTTGAAATTTGCTACTCGCAAGTAGGCTAAAATACGGATTTTAACGAGTTGTTCCAACTCAAGCAATCCAACCTTCACCCATAGGCATTCAGGCAGATATATCACATAAGCATATAGCCACATGATAAGCATGCTGTCATGTTAACATTCACACTCATGCGAGATGCTAAAACATAAATACTTACAGCGTACTCCGAGCCAAAACAAAGAACATGTTAGCAATCAAACGTATGATCCAAGTCCATGTTAAATGGCTAATGCATCACAGGCAAAATGCAATCTAGAATAGGCTCAGCTAATCCTAGGATGGCATGTCAAATGCAACAAGTAACATGTATTCAAGTTATATTTGAAATACCTATGCAGTTAGTATGATGCGCCGAGGCCGGTGCATGCAATACTGATGAATGAATGCACGCATGCATAACATAAGGTATGCTAAATTAAATATGCCCTAGTACTAACCATCAAAAGCAGATAAGTAAAAGGGAGAAAGAAATGGGAGTTGGAAGACATGCACACACACACCCACACTTATTACACATTCGCCCTCGCTCGGAGGGACCAAAAGAATAATACAAATTAATTAACCTACAAGTTAATTAATTATTACAGACCACTTAACTAGTTAAGCAAATTAACTAAGCTAAGAAAGCAATAAAACAGCCTCGGAAGAGGGTCCAATGCATGCGTGCTCGGGTTTGCTCGGAAATCCGTCACCATGCACAAGCTGCCTCTGTTTACCCTGCTCTGCTCTTCTGAAAATTGCACAAGTCCCAAAGAACACTCTCTGAACACTGTGGAGCATCACCGACTAAGGAGAAACATCACCGACCATGGTAGAAGGGTCATCGACCAAATATTCAGCTCTCGGCCTCAAATGTTTGGTCGGTCGACAATAGAGATGGTTGGCCGACCATGTATGCCTACAGAATCCTGTTTTGATAGCAGCAGAGGGCAAACATGGCATGGTAACGCATTTCAAGCAAATGTTTGCACAAACACCCTCCTTATCGTGTTCATGACTCAAGGGAGGATGGTCCTCGACCCTCGGGCCACCAATCGCGCATTTCAATGCGTGATGGCCAAAGAGGCCAAATTATGCATTTTGATGTCAAATGTAATGCACATAAACACATAAGGAAACCAACCTCAATCATGGTGATTCAAGAGGCAAGGTGTAGACACCCCATTTTTGACCGTCCTCAAGACTTGGACGTCACCATTGGAACACTTGGTGATTACCCTTGTTTGTGTTCGTCTTGAGTTCCCGGAGGTCTCGGTTGCGCGCCTTGCCTCAGGATCTCTCGACTCGACCGTGTTGTGTCTGGTTTTGCACCAAACACTTGTGTTTTTGCTTTGAAAGGCAGGGAATGGCTTGTTGGCCATTCCCATACCCTACCGGCTGTCCCCTCACATCACCGGCCGTTTATTGGTTCCACCGGCAGTGGTTTCTTAAAACTAATGGCCGGTCGGCACTATATTTTTGCCGACCGGCACTTTTCTCTGGCCGGTGACTTTTTTTGCTGGCCGGTGTGACCCTTTTGTACCCTCCAGGCATGGTGCATGCCAGCTGTGCCAGCTGGAATGCACCATCACTCCTCCCCATGCACGGGGATGACCACTTTGCACCCTTGACCCCTTTTTTCCTTCTAGAAGGTTGACCCCTTTGGCCAAGCTTCTTGAGGAAGCTTGGCCAGTTGTCCTAGCTTCCTCAAGAAGCCTTGACTCCCCTTGCACCCTTTTCCCCTTTTTACTTAGCTTCTTTGAGAAGCTTAAGCCTTTGCCTTTGCATATATAAAGAGCTCTCCTCCACCATGTTTAGGGTTAGAGTTTTTGAACATAAAAACCAGAGCTTATATACATATACATCATATACACTCTCTCTCTATATATATATATATTCCCCCCTCTCTCATCCTTTGTGTGTGTTTTGTGGCCTAAAAGTGCATTTTTACCTTAGTTTTGCACTAACACACACACTACCACACCTTACTTCGACTTTGAGGGACTTTGAGGGTTGTTTGTGGAGGTTTTGGACTGATTTTGGTCAGTAGAGGGTGGCTGGACCAACTGTTCTTCAAGGG